ATAAGATCATCAAAGGGCGTGATAGAGTAGTTAGTGGGAGATTGTTTCCCCTGGTTGGAGAAACTAAAACCAGGGGTCACAACTTTAAAATCAGAGGCCAGCCCTTTTGCACTGAGTTGAGGAAGAACTTCTTCACTCAAAGGGTGGTGAATGTATGGAACTCACTACCCCAAAGGGCTATTGACGCTCAGTCCTTGAACATACTCAAGACTGAGATAGATAGATTTCTTATTGCAAAAGGGATTAAGGGATATGGGGATAAGGCAGGGTTAGGTTATTAGCTGGAGTTAGATTAGAAGATCAGCTATGATTGAATGGTGGGGCAGGCTCGAAGGGCTGAATGGCCTACTCCTGCTCCTACACATTATGTTATGTTATGTTGGTATAGTCTAGCTTGGATGTGATAAATACATGGACACAGGTTGCAAGGGAAGAATCACAGAATCATAGAATTACACAGCACAGAAGGAGGCCATTCGGCCCATCGTGTCAGTGCCGGCTCCTCGAAAAGAGCTACCAAAATCAATCCCATTCCCCCGCGCTCTCCCCATAGTCCTGGGGAACTTGTCCTCCCCAATGGTGGGGTAATGGTGGAGGTGGGCAGTGTTTCTCAAGTGGGGGAAAGCTGAGCAGATCAGAGCATGGATGGAGAATTTAAAGGACAGTTGGGAGTCAAACAAGAAACCAAGGTTCGGCACTGGTTCCACCAGGTGGAATGTGCATCCATGCAGGTTGATGCTGTCAGTACCTAGGGTAAGAACGCGCTGATAGGAGCCAAGCAGGAGAGGTTGTCTTGTCAATGTTCAACTAAAAAATGTTAGTTCTCATCCAGGACTTGATGTCTGACAGGCAGAACATCACTGGTCCTAGAATCTAGGGTGGAGGCATGTAGATAAGGTTGGGTATCATCAGATGTGGAAGTTACCTGTGTGCCTGTGGATGACATCACTGAGCGGGAGCAAAAAGATAATGAAGAGGAGAGGACCAAGGATAAAGCCCCGAGGAACACTCCATGTGACTGTGCAAGGGCAGGAGGAGAAGTGATTGGAATAGACAAAGTGAAAACAGTTTGTTAAGTAACAGTGAAACCAGCTTGGGGCAGAGTCATTAAGATGCGGCTGAGAAGAGAGGAGGTGAAGAATGATAAAGTGGTTGACAGTGTTAAAACAAGCAGAGATCAAGCAGAACAAGGAGGCAGAGAAAACCCTGGTCACAGATGGAGAGAATGTCATTGGTGACTTTGACCACGGCAGTCTCAGTAATGTGACAGAATGGAAGCCGGATTGGAGGGGTTCATGCGGGGTGTGTTGGGAAAGGAAGGAGCGAAGCTGAGAAGTAACAAATCATTCCAGTACCTTGGAAAGGCAGGTTGGAGATGGGACAGTAAATTGAGAGAAGGAATGGATCAAGGGAGGATTTTTTCAGAATGGGGTGATGACAGTAGTTTACTGCTAGCTGTCTTAGTTTTGGACGCCTCGTTTTGGACTCACTAACCTAGTGTCCTAAGCTAAAGTTTCAAAATAAGAAGTATTGAGAATTTGTAGCGTGAGAAAGTATTAGGGCACCAATACCCTCTTTGAAATTGTACTTTCACATACAGATCATTGTTGGCAATGTTAACGAGAGCACTTACAGCAAGAGGTGAACAAAGAACTGAATCCATGACATAAAGGTCTGAGGGCAAAATCCCACATCGTCATACCCTGTAAAACCAATATTGCTTTAAAATTTAAAGTCATGCCTTCTTAATCAGGAAGCTGGTTTTCTACAATTCTTAAAAAGAACCAGTTCAAACATTATGATTGCATTAAGAACTTTCCACAATTCTGCAACATTTTAAATTTTCAGACACAATAGTCTTACAGGTTAAGACTGTGGTGCAGTATTTGGCCTCAGAATGATGACTGGTCACTAGTTTCCCTTATTTACAACAGAGAATAAGATTAATTTGTCTGCAAAATCGAATTTACTGACAACTGGAGAATAACTGCAACTGTAATCAACACGCACGTTATACAGCTACGCAAGCTCTGAGAGTATGTGTGTCCCAACCCAAATCACACGACCAAACAACTTTTCTTTTTTTTTATTCATATCCAGCTTATTATTTCTCTCCTCAGAGCTTAAGTTTTGTCTCAGCGCTACTACTGTGATTCCTGCCATTATGACTGCTGAGTTGCTCTGCGTTAATGTCATGAAGTAGAGGAAAAACAAGAGTACAGTGTTTTGAAACAGCATCACAGCATGGATACAGCACAGAAGGAGGCTGTTCAGCCCATGTGCAACAGTTTTGTAAAACAGAGAATCATTGAAGTTACATGTTGAGGGGAGACCAATTGGCTCTGGAGGTAACTGCTCTAATCCCATTGGATATATCACTTCAATCCCAATCCCCTGCCCTTCCTCATACTCTATAATATTTTTTCAAGTATTTATCTAGAGGATAAAAAACATTTCAGTGTATTAATTCACTGCCCAGCTGGGAACGCCACAGCTTGCAGCCTCTGAATTTACCACTAGCTAGAAGTTAAAAGAGAAGAGAGTTTCTTCCAGTGTCATGGCCAACAATTCCCCCAGATAAAATTGATTGTTTACTTCCTGGCTGTGTATGGCTATTGCACAATTCAACTGCTGCATTTGCCTACAAAAATGCACAGTCACTGCACTTTACAAAAATTCCTGTGAAGCGCTTTGAGATGTCTCAACCACGTGATAAGGCGCTATATCAAATGCAGGGATTATTATTATATTCACAGTTTAGCACCTACAGAAGCAGAAAATTAGACACTTGACCTCCATGGGTGACTGTGGGGGTATTGCACCAGCAGAGCTGATTGACAAAGTATGAACAACAACAAAAACAGCAGCAACAAAATTACATTTGTAAAGCGCCTTTCATGTCGGGAGACCAGATCGCTGGGCTGCTGAGATTGCCCCGGTTGCGAACAACTACAGCAACATCTTGCATTTACATAATGCCCTTTCCGTAGGATAGCGGATAGCGTGCTTCACAGTCAATGGGTTTTGACACTGAGCAATAAGTAAGGGGGAGTCAAACAGTTACGTTTTAAAATGGGATTTGAAGATAGAGAGAGCAAGGAGCAGGGATAGAGTTCACAGGTTGGGGGCATAATAATTGAAGGCTCAGCCACCGATGGTAACATGCAGAGGATGCATATAAGGTCTGAGCGGAAGGGTGGTGGGGGGGGGAAAGGGGTGTGGCACAAGTAGAAAGAAAGGTAAGTGCTAGGGTATGAAGGGATTTATATGAAAAGGTAAGGACCTTGAAGAGAATCTGTTTGGAGACAGTTTGAAGAAGGCCATGGCTAGAAGATTAGTTATATTCTGTCAAGCGCTCTGGGACACTATCCTGCATGATGGGTGCTATATGAATGCAAGTTTTTGTTGATCAACTTCAACACCTACCCAGCAGGAGATTGGCTTTGGGAGGAGGCAACATTGAGGTTATGTTGAATCTCTACAAACTCACTTGATAGGAGATCTAGAAATGGTTTAACAATTTTGGTCTAGGTTGTCTTATTTCTTAATTAGATTGGAGGGAAATTGGGAGGTGATTCTTTCATGAAGTTTGTTTTACTGGGGTCCCAGGTCTGTGAAACGCTTTGAGACATCCTCTCAATGTGAAAACTGCTATATAAATGTAAATTTATTGAGACACCTTGAAGATGTGATAAAGCGCTATATCAAATGCAAGAATTATTATGATTATTAAATTGTATTATACATTGTACTGTGTTTATAAGGGACTCCTTAACCTTAATAAGGAAATCAAGGCACACAAATGAGGTTCATCTGGTCACTACAACCTGTGAGAGCTCTACTCCCAGAGCACAGCTTTGTATATATATTGACCCATCGTCACTATTGCATAATGCACACAGTTGTACCTTTCCCTCAGTGGATACGTTATAGTGAACATGTAGTATGCTTCACAAACCAAGATATATAAGGGTACATCTGTACCCAAAATATCCTTGCAGATTCAATACAACAAAGGAGATACTGTGTTTGTTGTTGTTGTTGTATCTCCTTTGTACTTTACAGGCTAAAACAACATGTGACTGAAGGCTAACTACAACAACAACTTGCATTTATATAGACTCCTTCATGTGGGGAAGCGTTCCGGAGCGCTTCAATGCTGAGTGTTTGGGATTAGCAGATAGGTTTGTATGTTGGACGGAGTTCTAATAAGAAGTTGGTCACCCATAAGTCCCTTAATGTATTATAACTCTGACTGAATTTAAGGCTTTGGGATGTCGTTAGTTGTATAAATATTTTGAATTTTGACAATTAGTACGTAATTTATTCATTAATATAAACAGGATACTGGTTTTGTCTTCACAACTCGAAAAACTCTGAATCTTGTCACTGTGGGATTGGATATAAAATACCAGCTCTGTGACATTTGTCCTGCCTTGGTAACTGAACAGAGTGCGGTGGCTGTCTCAACATCTGGGCTTTAATTTATAGTATTCTATTAGAATTCCCATTAAATGTACTGACAAGTAGAGAAATCCCTCAAATAATAATAATAATAATCCTTGCATTTGATATAGCGCTTTTCACGTCAGGAGGACGTCCCAAAACGCTTCACAGAACACACTTTAAAGTGAATTAATTGACTGTATATTTGTGGGCGAACGCGGCAGCCAATTGCGCACAGCAATGTCCCACAAACAGCCGTAGATTAAAAATGACCAATTTATTATTGTTTTTGGTTTTGGAGGGATTATTATTAGGCGTGTGGAGAAAGGAATCTTGCCCAAGGTTTCGCCCTGCCTGGAATTGAACTCAGATCTCTAGCTTGCAAAGCGAGTGCTCTAACCACTGAGCTACAGGACTCCATCTGGATTACATAGGGCGATATTAGAACAGTAGTATTGGATACTGAAGAACAATACCGATGATATAATACTTCCATTTTTAATATATAATACTTCAAGTCACTTGCACTTAGCTTATATAATAGACTGACTCACCAAAGAGTTCTCATCTTCTAGGAAAGAATATGAATAGGCACTTGACCCTCCTGTAGGAACTACAGCCATAACAGCTGCACAAGCCTCCGAGTAGAAGGGGCTGAGGCCAAGGTTACTGACAGCTCCGACTGCCACTGTATAAATATTGTTCACATATCCATCAGTGCCACAGTGATCATTAGCCAGCCCGCCATTTCCTGAGGCCCAGATAAAAATATTTCCTTTGCCACCGCGACCCTAAAAAATAAAAAGGGAACAGATTTTTCTTAAGCAAAAGACACTTTATTTAATACATTCAGTTATGAATGATTGCCAGATTCACAAGGTGTTTTTGATTATAGCATTTCAATTATAGCATCTTTCACTTACTAGGACTTTTTTTTGTACGCCTATTCCAAATGCACTGGGACATTAATTGTAAAGTTATCTGTGATGTTAGCACTTTATTCAAGGGGATCCAAGTGCAATTATTGAACACATAAATGAACAGTCTATCAATCTTTCAATTACAGCATACATTTGCAATGAATTATATTCTTCTGCAATATATCCCTCATAACCTGCAATAACTCTGGTTTGTTATTTGTAGCTAAGAATTAAAAACACTGAATATCAAGCTTAAGTAAGCAACTCTCAGTTACCTGCAGTGAACAGCTTTAACATGCTAGCTCTGACAATACCCCTATCCCGTCAAAATGAACACCTCCTTATTCCAATTAGTTCTACAGTTTATTTGCAACAAAAACACTCAGATCCTCAACTGTAATGTATGCTACCATAGATACCACATAAGCAGTCACTGAATTTATTTCACCTTCCAAAATAATTTTTCAGTTACAGTCAGTACAATACTTTTGTATAGCGCCTTTCACATCGGGAGGACAGCCCAAGGTGCTGGACAGTCAGGGATTTGGAACCGAGCAGGGGATTTGGGATGAGGAGGGTCGGAGGGCCGGGTGGGTAGGAGGGTGGCCAAAGGTGTGGTCGAAGAGGAAGGTCTTGAGATTCACCTTGAAGGAGGCAAGAGAGGGAGCAAGACTAAGGGAATGTGGAATTGAATTCCAAAGGGTGGGGGCAGAGAGGCTGAAGGCCCGACCACCAATGGCTACGGCATTTAATAAAAACACAAAACAAGGATCCATTTCCAAATCTCTGACCTTTTCTGCACCTTCCTTCAGAGCTTTGGTTGTCAGGTTTCTGGGTCCATCAAACACCATTCCATTGTCATTGGGTCCCCAGCAGCAGGTGTAGATATCGATGTAGTTATTGTTGTAGGAGAGAGCTGCAGCTTCCAAAGCATCAGTCACTTTGCCATCCAAGATCCGAATACCTGAAGCACAAAGCAAACAATTCCCGACTGTTTGTGGGACACTGCTGAGCGCAATTGGCTGCCACATTTTGCCCACAAAATATACAGTCAATTCACTTTACAGTATATTTTGTGAAGCGCTTTGAGACGTCTCGAAGACTTGAAAAGCGCGATATCAAATGCAAGGATTATTTTGTTATTTATTATTTAATGCAACCATATACCTTATTTGTAAAGGTTAGAAAATGTAATTTTTTAAATTATTTCTTACATTTAATGGGAAAAACTTTTCTTGCAAAATACAATAACTGTCAAAAAAAGAAGCAGTGGACATATCTCTCGCTACAAAGCTAGGAATCCTTTCGATAAGAATTGTTTAACAATGTCTATTGCAATGGGTGCTTTTTGCATTTGAGTACTAACATTCAACCAACGCTATGAGGAGTTTCTTCAAAGCTGATCTCTGACAGTGGTACCCTCCTTTGGGGGAGGTAAGCAGGGTCTCTTCAGAGCTGAAATGGCTCCAAGGTGACATGCTTGACAATGGAATGCTGGAAATCAAGCCAACCCTCTGTGGTGCTCTCGGTACTACAGTTCCCGAGCTAGGCAGATCCACAGTACCTCAGAACACTGCTGATGACTGACCAGCCAGTCTAGCTCATGAATAGGACCTTGAGGGACAATCACTAGGACAGATATTCTTCCCACTTTGCTCCTAATGGGTAGGACTGTCCTACCTGGACAAGCAGTGGGAATCTTGCAAGATAGTGCTTTCAATGGCAAGCTCTACGGTTTTAGCTGGTTGGTCAAGATTTTGGGGCTCCAGAGTATGTGTTGGGGTACTGCTGGAGTTTAACTCACTAAGTTGGATAGCTTGCCATTGAAAGCATTCTCTGAAAAGATTCCCAATGTTTGTGTAGCTAGAACTACCCTCCCGGTTAGGCTTTGACTTGCAAGGTTTACAGGATCTGAGTGGGAAGAGTCCTTGACCCTCCAATTCCTGTCGTCAAGCCAAACTGTCTGGTCTGTCATCAGCAGTGCCCTAAAGTACTGCAGCTCTGTCTGGTGCAGGAACCGGATGAATGGGACCTGGACAGAAGGTTGACTCAATTCCAAGATTCTGTTGCCCGGCATGTCACCTTGAAGTCAGCTCAGCTACAAGGAGACCCTGCTTACCTACTTCCCAAGGAAAAGCTCATCATCATCATCGGATCACTGGGGTTGCAGGCAACATGGTGTTGTAATGCTTTAAATAAATCAAATAAAACAAAACAAATTTAAAACGAAATGTGACAATCGCAGCAGCAATGGGAGCAGAAGTCACACGGAGAGAAGCATTAAAGTTCAAAATGAATGCTCCAAAGTGAGTGTCCCAGGGGATTTACAACTCAGTGACAGCCACTGGCGAGTGATGACATTGATTCAACCCTGATCTAATGTGTTTTAATGCTGCACTGGAACTTTGTGTTGCAGATCATTCTCTCAGAATTAAGAAACCAAGGTGAAGGGCCAAGAAGCAGAGTTCAGGATACTACCAAGGTCAGTGCTGGAAATGATCATACTCCAGGTTTAGATTGAGAAAGTTGCTGACAAAAGGCCTTTCAGAATCCAAGGAAAAGTGCGCAGACCTGAGCTACTCCACTGAAATAAAAATTTTGAATAACTGAATTTTAATAATTTGACAAAAAATTAAATGATCATATTTGGATGAGATGTTCAACTGAGTTTCAGTCTACTCATTCAAATGGATGTTAAAGATCTCATGACACTACTCGAAAAGAGAAGGGAATTTCTCCTGGTGTCCTGGCCAACAATCTGCCCAGATAAAATTAGTCATTCATTTCATGGCTGTTTGTGGGACATTGCTTTGTGCAAAATGGCTTCTGAGTTCACCTAATACACAGTCACTACACTTTACAGTAAAATCCTGTGTAGCGCTTTGAGACAGCTTGATGATGTGATAAGGAACTGTAAATATTAAATGCAAGAATTAATATAAGAAGTGTAGTCAAATCTACATTTAACTCACTCTTGGTATCATTGGCCTTTCCCTCATCCACAATGGCAGCTTTAGGAAGATAATAGGAATAGGTCGTTCAGACCATCCGTTCTGCTCCTACTATTTTGTTACATCATGGCTATATTTTCAATCGAATTTTAGCACTGTATCTCCATATCCCTTAAACTCTTATTTCTAAAGTACCTCTTTGTTTCCCTTTTAAGTGTACCAATCAATTCTCCATCACTCGTTTCTGGGGTGGGACATTCCACATGAGCACATTACCACAACCCAGTGCATTCCAGCAGCAACAACTTGCACACAGACTTGTGATGCTCAGTGACTGTGGTGTTTTTGCTCCAGTACAGAAGACAAAAAGACAGAAAAACAATACAAGATTGGGTCCAGGTTCTGGTAGCACTCCTTTAAAATTCAATTACCCACAAATATACAGTCAATTCACTTTACAGTCTATTCTGTGAAGCGCTTTGAGATGTCGATAAGACGTGAAAAGCGCTATATCAAATGCAAGGATTATTATTATTACCTCCAATTCTTGCATTGAATGCGATTCCAACTCCACAGAAACTGTTGTTAGCCTGCATCGCTACTTCTCCTGCACATTTGGTTCCATGTCTTGATGATCCATGTAAAGAATTACAGGAAGAACAAAGTCCATGTGATTTCTCTGCAGATGTGTTTTATTAATCTTTTTAAGGCAAAGCTAACCATTTCCAGCCTTGAATCCAAAAATAAATAATAAAATACACTTTATATTGCCCTCGTCAGTCTTCCATGTTTTTAAAAAAAGGACAATTAAGAACTTTTTTTGCCAATTTTTATCCCTTTTCTCTGCTCCTCTCTTAAAGATGGTGATTGTTTTTGAGGTTTGGCTCCATGGGAGTCAGAATCCCTCTGGTATAAGGAAGAATCCTCAAACATTTCAACTGTGGAGAGCATCACAGTTTCTCACCCAATGTCAACACGAGTAAGGTCAGTGATCATAGGGATGAAAAGTCTGATCAGTGATGTGTTAATTGTCACACTGTTGAAAATTCTACCCTGTTGATAACTAAACACTTTGGCTGATCTGTGGGTGTGAAACCTCCCCCGACTCAGTCAAAATGAATGGGCTCAAAGCCAGGTCCTGGCTCAGATCGTAGATTTGGACTGTCAGTTAGCAGCATACCATCTTAACTCAACCAAGTATCAGATTAAAACTATTCAGAAGTTCAATGCTGCCCAAACATTGTGATGGAATCAAGAGTCACAACTGCAGACCGGTTGATGGCCTTGATTCTCAACAGGACAGATTTTCTTTTTAAACGTCAGTGTTAATGAAAACCATATATAACTTTTGTTTGGAGACTCTTAAACTGTGATGGGATTCTGTGTGTGTCAGATACCTGGCTCACCAAAACAACAACAACAACAACAAGATTCCATTTATAAAGCGCCTTTCACGTCAGGAGGACGTCCCAAGGCGCTGCACAGTTGGGTCATGACCCGAGCAGGGGGCAAATGGTCAGGGTGAGGGGAGGGAAGGGAGGGAGCGAGGAGGGGGAAATGGTCAGGGTGAGGGGAGGGAAGGGAGGGAGCGAGGAGGGGAAGAGAGTCGAGAGGGGAGCTGAAGGCACGGTCAAAGAGAAAGGTTTTGAGACCGGCCTTGAAGGAGGAAAGGGAGGAAGCAAGGCGAAGGCACTGGGGGATGGAGTTCCAGAGCCTGGGGGCTGAGAGGCTGAAGGCCCGACCACCGATGGTAGGGCGGTTGGGGCGGGGGACGTGGAGCAGAGGAACGGAGGGTACGGGCAGGTAGGTAGGGGGATAGTAGGTTGGAGAGGTAGGAGGGAGCAAGGCCGTGAATGGCCTTGTAGGTGAGGATGAGGATCTTGAAATCAATCCTCTGGGGGATGGGGAGCCAGTGGAGGCGAGCGAGGGTGGGAGTGATGTGGTCCCGAAGCCTGGTGCGGGACAGTACACGAGCTGCAGAGTTCTGAATGACCTGCAGCTTGTGGAGGGAGGTGGCGGGAAGGCCGGCGAGGAGAGAGTTCCCATAGTCCAGCCTTGAGGTGACAAAGGCGTGAACCAGGGTTTCAGCAGCGTGAGGGGTGAGGTAGTGCCGTAGTCTGGCGATGTTCCGGAGGTGATGGAAGGCGGTGCCAGTTGTGGTGCGGATGTGAGGGAGAAAGGACAGCTCAGGGTCGAACAAAACGCCGAGGTTCCTGACTGGCTTTGAGAGGTGGAGAGTGCAGCCTTGGATGCTGATGGTGTCAGCGCCTGAGGTGCGGAGGCGCTGACGTGAGCCAATCAGGAGGGCCTCGGTTTTTCGCACGTTGAGCTGAAGAAAGTTGTCTCTCGTCCAGGACTCGATGTCGGACAGGCAGGCTGTCAGGACATCGGTGGTCGTGGAGTTGAGAGTAGAGGAGGAAAGGTAGAGTTGGGTGTCATCCGCATACATGTGGAAGTTAACTCCATGTCTGCGGATGATGTCACCGAGGGGGAGCATATAGAGGGTGAAGAGGAGGGGACCGAGGACAGAGCCCTGAGGGACACCACATGAGACAGTACGGGGGGTGGAGGAGAAGCCATTCGTCGAGACAAAGTGAAGACGGTGAGAAAGGTACGACCTAAACCATTCAAGGACAGTGCCTTGAAGGTTGAGGTGGGAGGACAAGCGGTGGAGTAGGATAGCGTGGTCGACCGTATCGAATGCTGCCGATAGGTCGAGGAGGACGAGGAGACAGAGGGAGCCCTGGTCACAGATGGTCAGGATATCATTGGTGACCTTGACCAGGGCAGTTTCTGTGCTATGGGCAGCACGGAAACCTGACTGAAGGGGTTCGAAAAGAGAATGGGTGGAAAGGAAAGAGCGCAGTTGGGAGGCGACAACTCTTTCCAAGACCTTGGAGAGAAAGGGGAGGTTGGAGATGGGCCGGTAGCTTGATAGCTGCGACGCATCAAGGGAGGGTTTTTTCAGGGTGGGCGTGATGATGGCAGTTTTTAATGGAATGGGGACAGAGCCAGAGGAGAGGGACAGGTTGATGATGTCAGTGATATGTGGGGCAAGAAAGTGGAGCTGGGAGATAAGGAGTGGAGTGGGGATGGGGTCAAGGGAGCAGGTGGTTGGTTTTAGGGATAGGATGAGTTCAGTGACAGAGGGTGGGGAAACGGGTACGAAGGTGTGTAGGGGAGGATGGGTAGGAGTCGGAGTGTGGGAGGGAAGGGGTGGGTGGTGGGTGGAAGTTGGAGGGGAAGTGACCGCGGAGCGGATTCCCTTGATCTTGGATTCAAGGAAATCCAGCATCTCCTCGCAGTGAAGGTTGGAGGAGATGACCTGCGCGGGGTGGCGGGGGGACGGAGGAGTCGGGTTGTGGTGGAAAACAGTAGCCTGGGGTTGTTCTTCGCCTCCAGGATTATCCTGGAGTAGAAGGACGACTTGGCCGAGGCTAGAGTGGAGCGGTAAATTTTGAGGAGGTCCAGCCAGATTTGTCGGTGGACCGTTAGGCCAGATTTGACACAGGTGCGTTCAGCAGCCCGCACCTGGCTTTTCAGTGAGCGGAGGTGGGTGGTGTACCAGGGGGAGGAGCGGGAGTAGGAGACAGTGCGGGAAGTGATGGGGGCAAGAGTATCGAGTGTGGAGGAGAGGGTATTGTGGAGGAGGGAGAGAGGAGAAGAGGGGTCGGTGAGGGTTGAAGGCCAGAGGGAGAGGAGTTCAGAGGACTCCAAGGCATCGGTTAGGGATTGTGGGGGTAACTTCTTCCAAGGGCGGTAGAAGATGGTGGTGGGTCTGGTGGAGGTGGGGAGGGGGGTGGAGGAGGTGAAGGAGATGAAGTAGTGGTCAGAGATGGCCTTGTCGGTAATAGTGACATCCGAGACACTGAGGCCCCGGGTGATCACCAAATCGAGTGGGTGGCCGTGACTGTGAGTGGGGGAGTTTATGTGTAAGGAGAGGTTGAGTGAGGAGAGCAGGGAAGAGAAGTCTGTGGAGATGGAGCAGGAGGGTGTGAAGTGTAGGTTAAAGTCGCCCAGGATGATGAGGCGATCAGAGCAGAGGCAAAGAGATGTGAGGAGTGTTGAAATGTCAGAGATGAAGGTGGGAGAGGTTTTAGGGGGCCGGTAGAGGAGGAGGATTTTAAGGGAGAGGAATGAGGGGTGGGAGAGGGTGAGGTGCTCAAAGGAGGGGAAAGAGCCAGTGGAGTAGGGGGATAGGGCAAGTGGTGTCCTTGAGATAAGGGCAACACCACCCCCACGGCGGTTGGGGCGGGGGATGTGGTGGGAGGTGTAGCCGGGTGGCGTGGCCTCCGTGAGGGGGCCGTGAAAACAAAAAAACAGGGTTAGTTAATACCTCACATGTCACAAATTACATCCCATAGAATGGTAGAAATGACAGCAAAGGAGACACTTTGGACTACTAACCGATGAAGAGTGGAAGACAAGTTTTACCCTCCACTGCAGTGCCAGGGTGTGCTGCATTATTATAGGAGTGCATTGCAGAAGCGGAAGTAACAAGAAGATGTAAGGGTGAAGACGATCACATAGGTGGGGAAGAGCAAGGATGTGAAGGATTTTTCAAGTGAGGATAAGGATGTAGAAGTCAATCTACTGGGAGGCAGGAGTAATTGGAGCCTAGCAAGAACAGGAATGATGGGTATATGATCTTTTGTGAAGATAAAGCTACAGAGTGACTTTTTGGATGAGCTGAAGATTGTGGATTGTGGAACTGGGTATTTGAAAAGTCGACTGTAGAGGTGACAAAGGCATGAATGAGGACAAGTCCACTGTGCAATGCTCCAAGATGCTATCCTGCATAAAGGGAACAATATAAGTGCATTTTTTTTCATCAGGCATGATTAAAACATTATTCAGTTAATTATATAGAGGCAACACAATGCAAATTATTTAGTCAATCCTTGACTATATATCACTGATGGAAGTAAATATCAGTCTGGCAAATGTTCTACAAGCCCATCATATGCAGGTTACCAGTGCAAAAAGAACTGCTTCCCTCAACTGCATCATCTTAGTCAATGATATTTTCACAGAAAGAAACCAATGGAAACAACTCTGTGACATGGAAGATCATTAAATGGCGTTGTGCTAATCCTGTCAAGGCAAACTCCATGTTATAATCCACCCAGAAAGCTTGGGATGTCTCAAATCTACTCAATGCAGCTCTTGAGTTCAGGATAGATCTGTGTATTCCTGTCAAACCTCGACTCTGGTATCAATGAGGTCTAGCCTTTTCGGAACCCTGCTAGAGATTGAAGAGGAAAGAGTCTTTCCCTGCACCTTTGTACCCTGATTTTCAAATTACTTTGAACAGATTTAAATACTGAGGGAGATCAAAGAGATTATAAGTAATCCCATTAATTATTAGTGTAAAATTGTTGCAAAGGTGGTTAGTCGCAAACACTATGAAGCAAGCGAAAAATAAACACAAATAATTTTAGTGCACTTTTCTATGAGGCACTTAGGCAAATTCTCACCACAGGCAAATTCTTCACAATCAACATTCAAACAGTCTCATATAGTTGCTGGGAATGAATGGGGACTTGTTCTTTTTACACCTGCTTGTAATTTTCAAGGTCAGATCTCCCTGCTCTCCTTTGGCTTTCTGGACTCGTGCTGAGAAGAGAGGTGAACAATCTACTTCCAGGTCTTTACAATGTCTTCTTTGCTGCCTGATAACCAGTGTAGAGTCTGAATTACCACATCTGACATTTCCTATGCTTGCATCATAACTGCTCAGTGCCATTTTTCATCCATCTAAAAAGCTAACTGCTTTTAGAAACTGGTTTCCTTCATTTCTGCAGGTGAGGTGCATTGGTAGGTTTTGCTACTTTTAATTCTTCATGTGGGGAGGGGGGCTAATCAAAGTATTTATTAGCAGGATAAAACATCTGAGTTGCAGAAATGGAAGAATCCATCATAGATATATTAGGAATACTGTAGTGGATACAGCCATGAAGAAAGGTTGGAAAGGTTAGAGCTTTTCACTGGAGTAAAGATGATTGAGAGGGGCCTGATAAACTTGCTTAAGGTTATGAAAGGATTTGATAAAGTGAACATTAATAGTATTGTTGGCCAGTACAAAATGAGAGTGCATAAATATAGGATAGCCAGAAGCACATCTCATGGGGAGTTTAGGAGGAACTTGAGGGTGAAGGGAATAGACATAGGCTTTAGGTATAGGAGAGGAGATTAGGACGGGTGGACCCTCATTTGGAGTACAAACATCAGCATAGACAAGTTACGTGAATAGCTTGTTTCAGTGCTAGAACATTGTCTATAATTCTATGTGAATGGAAACACTTTCCGCTAACTGGAAGTATGTCACGCTGCCTGGCAAGAACACCTCTCTGACCTGATCCAATTCCCTAATAGAGTTTTTGTTGGTCAGTGGGAATTCTAACAGAGCACCTCATTAAGAAATGCCTCAACTTAAAACCTAAGACGTAAAATAGATTCAGTAACCATTCAGATTTTTTCTATTTAAATTTGCAACTGTCAGCTGTTCTGTTCAGGAGAATTCATTTAAATCTTGGCTAACAAATATCCAGCAATTGAGTTATGTTCAATAATAGAGTGTTGTTTTACATTATTCCTGGTTCGTATATTGCTAATAACTAAGGGGCATGATGTCAGGATTATTATTGGAAGACTAAACGAGAGGTTAGAAGAAACATCCTGTTGAGGTGAGTTAGGAAATGGAATGAGTAGTGAAATGGCTGAGACAATAAAAATATTTAAGTGGCAATTGGATAAACATTAATGCTGACCAATAAAAACAGGGTATAGGGTTAAGCAATGATTTGGAAAAAGAGCAGATAACTTCAGAGGAGAAGATAGCACCAGCACAGGCTCAATGGGCCAAATCCCCCCTTCTATGGAATCCAACTGTGCCTCTGTAAAGCGCTCCAATATGTTATCCTTCATGATGTTCACTTTATTTAAATACAAATTATTGTCATTGAATCTACATGCTTGATTCTATAGACTGGGTGAAAGCTTAATGATAATGGCTCATGTGCACAAATGTTTGTACGATAGCTCTATGGAGATTCTTCAATTCAGCAGTACAGAATTCTGATGGGAAAATGCTCTGAATTTTGTATTGATGTTTCCTTCCCTGGTTACAAAATACACAGTGGTGTTCCAGGTGTCTAACATTCAAATAGGACATCAATGCCGGTGACTGCAACGCAGCAGATTTAACTTTCAAATAGTTATAACCGGTGGCATGGAACCTAATCAGGTCAATATAGGCCACTAATGGTAGAAATTATGTATTGGCCAATAACAGTAATGCATGCCAACCTTAGAATTTATTGTGCCTTGTGTGAGAGCATGAATGAATATCATCAAAAGATTAGTATCATGGTTTTATACTAAGCATAAAAACTGATCAATCAGATACACCATTGGTGACCGTGCTTCAGCCACTTCACCCTGAAGTTATGGAACTCCCTCCCTCAATCCCTTTGCCTTGCCCCCTCTTTTCCCATTTTCGGGTTGCACCTGAAGACCTTTCTATTTGACCATGCCTATGGTCCCCTACCCCCTCCCGCTGACTCAGCATCGGGCTCCATCATTGTTAAGCGCTCCAGGATGCCGCCTGTCGTGGAGGGCACTATATAAATGCCAGTTGTTGTTGTACACTTACTTGGATGAACCACTGGCAAATCAGCTTTGCTTTTACATTTTAAAGCATCTTATACTCTTGCTTATTACAAATAAATAAAAATAGGTTATACAGTTTATACTTTCATTGATAAAGAAGGCTTCATCACTAGTTTTACACCCATATTACATGTCCTTTGTATCATTCTAGTTTTTCACAGTGAATTCAGTCAAAATCATTCACATGATAGCAATTTACTGTAAGCCAGTTAAAATATCTTACCCATTCAATTTGTCTGAAGAATTAGGAATTGGATCATGTAATGTGTCAAAATGGTCATTGAAATCAAAGCTGGCTTGGGGGTCCTGTAGAAATAAAATAGTAAGAATCAGCACTTTCCTTTATACAGCTTAATGGCACTAACCACTTCCAAAGTGCTTTGAAAATGTGATGACTGCCAGAGTGTAGCCTTTTAGTGCCAATGTTCCACCTAGTATAAGCCTATAAAATCATTTTGTCTGAAAATGTAAGATTGTTCAGAACCGTGGAAAACTCTTAACTTCAGTCTTAGTTTGAAGCCAAAATTCAACAGATATGTTTAAGAAACAAAGAATCAGTTTCTAAATGAAGAGTGAACTCAATAATTTTCCATATTTTCTGGGTGATCTTAACATTTTAAGACAAAATGGACTTACAGGATAAGACTATGTGGAAGTTCAAGCCTTCTGAGTCTTTACAGACTCTTACAAGTACATATTATTGAAAACCTTGAGAAAAATGACAAAAAAACTTTGCTGGATATTTGTGTATTAATAGGGTCTTTGCAACATTAGGTATTGCATCAATTTTATGTGAGTTTGTTGCTTACAAATAGTAGTGCAAATAATGGAATATGCACAAACTTTTGAAATTATCTTTTCATGAAGTGCGGTGCAAAACATCAGTATACTGCTGCCAATTATAACTTACCTAAACTTTTAGATATAGATGCTTTCTGTTTCAACCATTGTTTCCACATTCTCACCACCATCGGCAAAAAGAAGTTCCTCCTAAACTCCCTTTTAAATCTGATACTGACTATCTGAGATTTATGCACCCTTGGTTTGGTCTTACCAATAAGTGGAGACAGCTTATTAATTTCCACTTTATCAAAGCCTTACATGATATTAAACACCTCTGTCAGGTCCCCTCACAATTGCCTTATCTCCAAAGAAAAAAAGATCTAACCTGTCCAATCTTTCTTCATTCATTCATTCATTCATTCATTCCTAGAAACATCTTAATAAATCTACTCTGCACTCTCTCTGAACCTACAATACTCTTTCTGTCGTATGGCAACCAAAACTGCACACAGCTCTCCAAATATAGTTTAACCAATGTAAATTTAACATTACTTCTCTACATTTTTGCATTAGATTGCATCTGCCATCTTTTTTCCCAATCTACTAGTCTGTTTATGTCCTCCAGCATTTGCTTATAATCTTCTTTGCTGTTAGTTACACTCCCTATTTTTGTGTTCTTTGAGGTTTTCCATTTACATAAATTATTTAGACATGGCATAGGGGGGATATCATCAAAATGCGGAGATGGATGGGTCTAAAATGCTATTAGTAATTTAAAATGGAATTCCTTAATTCAAGAATCTAAGTGGGATCTCCTTCCAGTAACCGTGAGCATAGCATGCACAGCATGCCGGTGCGTGAGAACTCCACTCCTCTCTAATCCGGTTACTTGAGGCGAATTGCAGTGCTCTTCTGCCACCTGAACTGAGATAAGCTAATTCTGCAAAGCTCGGGGATCAAACCTGTCTATATATCTCAGCTGCTCACTGAATAAACTTACTGAGGCATTGGGGAGTCCTATTTCAGCTTTTGAAAAGCATTTCAATGAAGAAAGTGATGCAAACTCCAAAGAGAACATTTCATGCTTCAGCCTAGCTCTTGAAGAAGCAGCTTTGTAAGAGACTGACTTGGAATTTCCAGGATCGATATTACTTTGACGTGAAAATAGCAAATTTATTTTATCTATTTACTATTAAGTGTTGTTCATGTTTATTTGTTTACACGCAATACAGAAGTTGTAACGGTTCATGCCAAGTACTAATTAGAAAAAATAATTAAATTATGTTGAAGAGTAATGGAACACCTCATTCAGGAGAAAAGACATTAAGTTGATACGGGCATTATTAGGGTTAATTTGTTTGTAACATTACAAGCTCTGTTGTACATGCATAATAGGATTTTCTAGAACTAATGGCTTTCATATTTCCAAAAGTTGATTTACTGTAGTTTCAAATAAATCTCTTCTTCGGGAGCACTATAATCCTTAATTGTGCAATTCACCAGCAAGTAATTACAGAAAATATTTCTGCTCTTTTCTGTGAGGGGAAGATGTCTTTCATGAAAACGTGCATTCAAATCTGTTTAAGCACATTACCTATTCAGTAAGTAACCTGAAAGATCCTACTCTAGATACTTAGTCCATGCTAAATTTGCAGATCCCAGGAACAGGGTGCTACAACTGACCTTAGTGCTCTTGGGCAAGGTGGCGAAAATACAACCCACTATTGTTCACAATTTAAGTGTCATCTTAGCTTTGTTGGTAGCATTCTTACTTCTGTCAGATGGTTGTGGGTTCAAGTGCCATAACAGAACTTTGAACTCACACAGTCCCGGCTTAGCACCTCAATACAGTGATGGGAATGCACTGCATTGTTCGAGGTGCCATCCTTTAAATGAGACATTAAACCAAAGCCCCGTTTGCCTCTTTAGGTGGATGTTGAAGATCCCATGGTGCTACTTATATTAATCCTTGCACTTCATGTTGGGAGGACATCGCAAAGTGCTTCACAGGTTTTTTTTCTGTGAAGTTTAGTGACCGTGTATCTTGTAAGCGAACGCCTGTTTGAAAAGTGAAGGAATTTTCTCCCTGTGCCTCGGCCAACAATCCCTCAGATAAAATTGGTCATTTACTTTATGGATGATTAGAGGACATTGCTGTGCACAAATCTGTTGTGTTGACCTATAAATACACAATACTTTAGAGTGTATCTTGTAAAGTTGTATGAGACATCTTTGTGACATACAATCCTCCCTCTCCTTATAAATACTCCTTATTTATCATCCACCCAAACCACCTGGTTCCTTCATCCCTGACATCTCTGATCTGTCCATCACAGACAAGGACACCTCAGACCATTTCCTCATTAACCTCTCCTCCTGCATTCCCTATCACTAGTTCCAAGCCCTCCACCATCTTTTTCCAACTTTGGAAAAAGCTTCCACCCGATTCCCTCACAAACACCCTTCCTCTTCCTCCGATCTCTTCTCCCTTTGGACTTCCGCAGCGATCCTGATGCAGTCATCAAGCTCCTAAACAATCACCTCTTTGCAACCCTCAACTCCCTTGCCCCTAAAATCCAGGACTGTCTCTACCCGCTCCCCCTTGTACAGCAGTCATCTCTGCTCCCTCAAAACTAAAACTCAGACGCTCGGGTGCAGATGGCACAAATCCGACTTCACAATCCACCGCCAGCTATGGCTCGAGGATCTCCTTCCCTACATCCCCTTCCACATTCCTCACATGGTCTACACCACCCCTTACTTCCACCACAGCCCCTACCACTCCCTCCTCCCTCCACTCCTTTGCCCCGATTACTCCCACCTCCCTCTCAACCACCATCTTCCAGATGAAGCCCATTACCTGCTGCCTCAACCCCTTCGCCACCAAGTTCGCCACCCAACTCCCCCTCCTCTCCCTGCTGCTGGCCGACACAGTCAACCAGTCATTCTCCTCAAGTTCTGTTCCTCTCCCCCATCAAACCGCTCTTATCGTTCCCCTCCTCAAAAAAACCACCCTTGACTCCTCCAACTTCACAAATCACAGTCCCATTTCCAACCTGTCCTTCCTTGCCAAAGCTTCAGAACACGTTGTCACTAATCAGTTTTGCTCACACCTCTCCCTCCACTCACTCCTCGAGCCCCTCCAGTCTGGTGTCTGCCACAGAGATGGAGCTTGTCAAAGTCACAAACGACACCTTCTTTATCTGTGACCAGGGCTCTCTCTCTCTGTCTCCTCATTTTCCTGGACCTCTCCATTGCGTTTGACACAGTCGATTATGCCATCCTCATCCACTTCCTCTCCTCCCTCAACCTCCTCAGTGGTACCACACTAGCCTGGTTTGAGTCCTATCTAAACAAATCGCCTTCACTTTGTCTCCTCAAACAGTTTTTCCTCCCGCCTCCGCCCCGTAATCTGTGGTGTACCCCAGAGCTCCATCCTTGGCCCCCTTCCTCTTCCTCATTTATATGCTCCCTCTTAGCGATGTCATCTCATAAACTTACGTCATCCACGTAAACTTCCACATGTATGCGGATGACACACAAATCTACTTCTCCAACTGCGACTCCAGGTCCGCTAATGTTCTGTAAGCTTGTCTGGCAGACATCAGGGCCCGGATGAGCGCAAACTTCTTTCAACTAAATGTTCATAAGACGGAAGCCATACTCCTTGACTCTCATCAACATCTTCTGTCCTGTGTCTCTTACCTCCTCAACCACCCCGGCCTATCCCGCAACCTAGTCAGGTTCGACCCACAGCTTTCCTTCCTTCCCCACATCCAGTCCCTGACCAGGACTGCCTTCCTCCACCTCAACCACACTGCTTGCCTCTGACTATATCTTATCCCAAAGTAGAAACATTCGTCCATGAATGCATCATCTCCCGATTCAACGTTTCAAAGGCTCTCTTCACTGGTCTCCCCAGCTCCACTGTGCACAAGATCCAGCTAATCCAAAACTTCGCTGGCAGCATACTCCCCACACTAATCTCTGTACCCCCATCACATCAATTCTGCCAAGCTCCAGTGGCTTCCTATCGCTGAACGGATTGATTTCAAGATCATCACACTCGCTTTCAAATCCCTGATCTGCTTACCCCCCAACCCACGCTTCCGCTTGACTTCATTCCGGCCTTCTGCATGTCCCTTGTGCCCTCCGTTGCATCATCGGTGGCCGCACTTTCAGTCACTACTCCCCGGAACGCTGGAACACTCTTCCTCTATCCCTACATCTTGCCCCTTCCTTCCCATTCTTCAGGTCTCGCCTGAAGACCTTCCACGTCTTCTGACCTGTGTCTCTGACATACTCCTCCCCCAAGCTCAGTGTCGTGCTCCGCCACTGTTAAGGTCTCTGGGATCGTACCCTGCATGAGGGGCGCTATATATAAGCTACTTTGTCTTATATCTTAAAATCGTCAGTTTCTCGCAGGACCCAAAAAGAAACCGTCTTCCGAATTATGGTTGTATTTACGAACTTTCCTGTCTATGCAAGATTACATTTAACGTAAAATAATCTTAATATCTCAGAGGAATTTCAGGCCTCTGGCATATGTGAAATCACCCCAGTGTTATTTAGGAAAAATATTTTGTTGCACAATTTCTTGGCTAGCCATACTGGAAGATTCTGGTCTCTAAACACAGTCCTGAAGCCAGCCCGAAGCTCTGTGCAGCTGGTATTGGAATTGCTGCCTGTGCTGTGCTGCATAAAAACAAGGTAAAAGAGTTGAGCAGATTTTAGAACGTCCTGGACATCTGTCTGCATTGCAGCCACCAGCTGAATAAGCCAGAGCACAGATTCCTGCATGTACTACAACCAGTTTCATGTCAGCATTTCTCTGGTCTGACATACTTCTGGAAATTTCAGGCCTTCACTGCAAATATGTGGAAGAGAAGCATGAGGGTTGACCGGGAATAGATTGGATCAAGAGTTGAGTTCCAGGGGTCAGTTCAGTGACCGATGGGATTCAATATTTATGAATCTAGTGTGAAGTTCCCCCAGGTCACCATCACGAGCTTCTGGTTACCAGCAGGACGCAACATTTGCAAATCCAGTTGACAAGTATGCTGTCTTTGTCCCTGCGGTAACATCTGCCAACCTTTACTGATTAATGGTCTGTATTTCATTTAGTACGTATAATTTTTACTTGTATTGCCATCTTTCAGGTGAGATGTTAAAGTTAGGTCCCATCTGCTTCTTCAGGTAGCCGTTAAAGATCCGATGGCACAATATGAAAAGAGAAGAGAATTTATCCTAGTTCAACAATCCCCCACAAAAAAATTGGTCATTCACTTCATGGTGTCTGTAGGACATTACCCTGGACAAATTGGCCACTGTGTTTGCCTACAAATTACATGGTCACTACACTGTATAATAAAGTCTGTGAAGCACTTTGAGATATCTTCACGACATGTTGAGGCTCTATATCAAATGCAAGGATTGTTATCTTTTCCTCAGTTATGCTGCTTGTGATGCTTGTGAAAATGAAAGCCACACATGAAAAAGCATTTGCATTGGAAACATTTACTAGCCCCACTTGTGCTGTAACTAACTGGATTTTGCAGTATTACTTACTGCCCTAGTGCGTTCTTAATTTTTTCCTGACAGAATCAAATGAGATCAATTTCTTTTATAAAAACTTTTAACCGATACAGGCATCGATGTTTCGCAGTCATTCGAATGAACCATTAAACCGTAACTTAAAAACCTTTGAAGCGTGCCCTCACAGACGTTACTTACATAGTTTCCCTTCAAGTCAGTGTTTTTGTGGTCAATGCCTAGAAGAGGAAAAAGGAGGAGGGGGGAGGTTAAACATAACAATCACAGAGGCATTATGCGTACACCAAAGAAAACAACTATGCTGGGCCCATCATCATTCTGCCCTGCAGGTAGATGATAGGCAGTGGAGGGAAAAAGAAGCAAATGGAACAGGGAAAGAGTAGGACGGTACAGGATATGGATGAGTTTCCGAAGCCTGGAAGCATGAACGACTTGATTGTGATCCTCAAGCCATACCAGCAGCCATGCAAAACAGGACATACCTTTCTGGCTTGCTGGTTCTGCTGGCTGAAACAAAGCAGTCACATGCTCAGCAGGAGGGCAGATCAAAATGAAATTTTATTTTGTCTGCAATGTCCTCAGATTGGGTTCCATAAAGGCAGCTCTAGGGAGATGGGTTAGGTGGGTACATGCTCTGCATATGAAAATACATCAGTGGAGGCCGAGGATGCTTATTATACATCTGGGAAATCTATATCATGAAAGAAATAGCACCGTCTTGGACGATATACTGAGACATTACTGTAGTAAGTTTGCGAAACAAAGCCCAGCACTGACAATACTGAACGCAATCAATATTTGTCTCTCTTAACCTGAACACTGCAATATTTTGATATGTTTCTAATGTTTATGGCAGTTTTTGTACATTGTATCAAAAGGAAAACAAACCCGTGTTAAAATGGAGCAGTTCATTTTATTGCTGTGACGTTCATAGAAATTGTGCAGTAATTAGAAGTAACACACATCTACACACATCTATTGTCTTTCACTTATAATAGCTACTTGAGTACTTGGCAGAAATTATTGCCTTGAATTGCTTGCCTGCTGCAGCCCTAGAAAGGAATGGCAACCTAAATTGCAACGCAATTGATTATTTTTTCCCTGCCAGAAAACAAATCATTCGTAAAGAAATCCATCCACGCAAAGTCACATTCTAAGTAAGATCAGTTTATTTTTGTGTAGCTATTTCCCTCCCCTCTTTTGAATAGGAAGGGGAACATTGCATTGTCGAAGGTGCAATGCTTCAAATTAGATTGTTTAGGTGAACATTAAAGATCCCATGGCACTATTGGAAAAGAGAAGGGTGCTTTTCCTGGTGTCCTGGTAAACCATCCTCCAGATAAAAATTAGCTGTTAGTGGGATATTGCTCTTCACAACTGGCTACCGTATGAGACTTTAAATTCACAGCTGCTACATTTTACTGTACCTTGTGAAGCGCTTTGAAACATATCGATAATTGATAAGGTGCTATATCAAATGTATGAATTATTATTTATCTTATGCATTACTTCCCAAGGAAATGAGAAAGCAGCCATGCCTTTGCCTATGTTGTTCTGTAACTTGATAAGACCTGTTCCTGATTCTCCTCCCTCTCCTGGGGGTGAGGTGTGAAGCACCCTTATTATGGGTGATACCTGTTTTAGTGAAAAACAATCGGCCTAAACCAGGGCCAGCATAACATGATAGGGTTGATGGAGGAAGGGGATTGCTTCACTTTCCCCTGGTCATTGCTGCTCTGTTCCCAATGTTCATACACAATGAACTGCTTTGTCTTAGCTCATAAAGGCAGCTCTGGGGAGATGGGATAAGTGGATACATGCTCTGGCGGATTACTCTTTAGATGCACTCCACACTCTTCACTACCTTTGCCAGTTCTTCCCTTTCAGTTTCTATTGCACTCATCCTAGTTGTATCCACTCTGCCCCACCCATACATCTTCATCCAATATTGTCTAAGCTGACACTCCAATACAGAACTGGAGGTTTGTTGCTCTGTCAGAGATGCCATCCATTGGATGAGACATTAAACCAAGGTCCCGTCTGCCTATTCAAGTGATGTTAAGGATCCCATGGCACTATTCAAAAAGAGAAGGGAGTTTCTCTCCCCCGATGTCCTAGCCAACAATCCCCCAAATAAAATTGGTCACTCACTCCATGGCTGTTTGTGGGACGTTGCTGTGTGCAGACTGGCTGCCGTGTTTCACCCCAAGATATACAGTCAATCTGTTTTACAGTATATCCAGGGATATCGGCTTTCATAGAATATTACAGCACAGAAGGAGGCCATTTGGCACATCATGCCTGTGCTGAACACAGATTGTTTCGAACCCCGGGAGCAGAAAGTAGCTTATTTTCTTCTTCTGCTTGTGGGATTCAAACAATGGCAATGGCACCGTAATTACACTTAGTCGGAAATTCTGATTCACTGGACCAGATCTCCCCCAACTCCGCCATTAGTCCGGCTAGCCGGAGTTGAGTGTACACTATATTGCCTTATTTTGTAATACTGGTACAATACTCACGTTTGCCCACAAAACACAGAGTGAATCCTATAAAGCGTTTTGAAATGTCCTCCCAACACAAAGACGCTTTACCAAAGGATTATTATTATTATTATTATTATAAAAGTAATAGTAATCCTAATAATAATAATACTTTTATTTGATATGTTTTCTACAATATCTAAACTTCTAAAAGTGCTCTACAGGTAATTAATGTTACAGGAAATGTGATATATTGTACACCCTCCCTTTTTGAGTAGTGTTATGGGATCTTTAATGTCCACCTCAAGAAGAGAATCTATCCACAAAGTATACTGTTTTTGTACATAATTAAGATTTTAATATTGCAAAGAGAGAGAATAGGGTGGAGCTATTCAAGGATAGATTTCCAAAGAGCAAGGGTAGAATGGTTGAAAGCTCACTGGTGGCGAGACAGATCATATCCTAAGATCCTAGTATTTTAATGTCATTTTTCCCACAAGAATAACATAATAGCAAACCAGCTCCTTTACGATTTCATATTCTTGTTAAAAAAATGACCATGCAATTTTTTTTGCGCTATTTTGCTTTGAGAAAAAAAAACATATTCTGGAATGCTATTGCAGAAATACCCATATTTAAAAGTATTTGGAATAAAGGATTAGAATAAATTGATATTGCAGGAACTCTATAACATTTAACAATAAAATAAGCAAATTATTACAATGCTGTCAATAGCCTGCTCTTGTAATTGTTCCCTATTCCACATTAAAAGCCTCAATAATGTTTGGAAAATGTTGCGGAATCCCGGTAGGTTTCCTATTTAACAAGCCATGTATGACAAATCACACTGTAATGTACTATGTTCTTAATCTTTAATTAGAATGTGAAAATCTGCTGGTGAATGCAGTTAACTTTGACATATTAAATCTTCTGGTTAAACTGTCCTACAGGAAGTGCACGGATGAAACATTGTAACAATCTACAGCCTCCCTCCATTCACCCAGACAGTCTGGGAAGGATGATAACATCTTGTAATACCTGCTCCACACTAATTAATCGCTGTGGTATTTAGGACCATTCAAGTAGACAAATATGACAGAGACAGGGACAATTAGGATCCTTGTTCAAGCTACATTAACTTTTCTAGTTATTACAACAGAGCAACTAAAGTTTGCTTGTAAAAGCTGCAGTGGTCTTGTTGTACATTAGTCACGTAATTAAAAAATGGTGTTATGCTTCCTGCAGGTCAGAATACTGTATCCTAAACAACAGTCAACAGATTTATCAATGGGGCGAACAGGTTGTTTTAACCTATTCAGTGCCACAGGTCTTCTTTTTGCACCGCAACCTTCATAATCTAATAACCCACTGTTGCTATGGATTTTGTGGAATTTGGTTGGGTTCACGCATCTTATGATGGTCACCTGACTGGGGGGCTTTTTACAGATCACAACTCTCCACTTCTGGTTAGCAGGAATGCTGACTTAACATTAGTAAAAAGTTGCGATCCCTCACTAACCAGCATTTCAACGGCACGACCTATGAGCCATTAAATTCACAACCTGTCCTTACAGACAGCGTTGGGGTGGGGCGTCCGTTTCTGAGTGATTTCCAGTCCGTAGGACATATGTCAATGACTTCAATCAATAACGACATCTGCATTTGGTATAATACAATGAGGTACTTTGAAGTGTAACGTCTATTATGTAGGCAAATAGTGCAGCTAATATTTGCCAGTAAAGTCCCACACAAAAAATAATGAAATGAATGACTAAATAAATGTATTTTTTGGTCAGTTGTACATGAGAAAGATGTATTGGCCAGAACAGCAGGAGTTTCCATATACTTCTTCAAAATAATAGTTTGGGGTCTTTGGTGCCTACCTGAACAGCAAGACAGGCAGAAAATATCTGGTTTATTCAATGGATGGCACCTCTAACAATGCAGTGCACCCTCTATAATTCACTGGACTAAAATAAGAGCTCAATGCTTGGTGTGGAGCTTCTAACCCTCAACCTTCTGACCCAGAGGCAAGAGAACTGAAACAATCTAGCAAGATATTTTTTGCGAATGAAACATGCAATGTTATCTGTAATTAAAAACCAAAAGATTTAGAGAATGACATTGCATAACCTCAAGCGTTGTGCTGTTTGAAGAGATTCTACATGAAGGAGTTAATAGAATTCAGAATGCATTTTTTAATATAAATCTAACCAGTTATTGCCCATACAGTTTGCCTATAATGCCCCAGATATACTGCATCATAGAACATTACAGAAAATTACAGAATAATAGTTTTATAATCCTTGCATTTGATATAACACCTTATGACATTGTTGAAGTGCAAACAGGATTTATTCTATGCAGTGGCTGTGCACTCATAGGCAAACACGGCAGCCAATTTATGCACAACAACGTTCCAAAAACAGCCATGAAATGAATGACCAGTTTTATTTGGGGGATTGTTGCCCAGGACACCGGGGGAAACTCCCTTCTCTTTTCAAACAGTGCTATAGGATTTTTAATGTGAACCTTTTATCCGTCTTATCCAAAGGATGGATGAATGTTTAGTCCATATCAACAAATGCACTACATGGAACAACAGTAGATATAACCCCTAGAATGTCTCCTCAGGTAAAACCCTAAGGATCTCTCCAAGATTTGACACTGCATCCAATTTATTAAAATCATGCCTTTCATCTATTCTACTGATCACACTTAGGAAAAATTAAGGT